ATAATATAACATAATTCATGCAAATGAATTAATACTGCAAATCCTCAGAACACAAAAGACAGTATAATCTATAATTTGCACCAATTCAAAAATAGATGTATTTTAAAATATTCGAACAGGTCATGGAGTGAGGGATTGATATGCTGAATGAGGATTTGGACTGAAAACTTGTGAATGTAGGTGTACGTGTCTCGTCCGTAAAGACGGAAACGCGGTTTCCCATGGCTCGCCTTAGAGGCGTGTCACGCAGAACGCTGCTGGTCGGTTCTCTTCATCGGCCTTGTCAACGTCGTCTTCTGAGGCAAGGCTTGGGCTTAAACAAACCGAGACCTAAGATCATGAGGAGGGGAATGCGAAACAGGTGTATATAGAGGTTTCAAGACGTATTTCTCAGCCACAAGACATCCACGCCCCATACAGGATAAGCGTTTCCCAGTGCCTTTTCCAAGTTCCAGGAAAAATGGAGATTCCTCTCACCCTCGTGAGTATCTCTTCTTATTTTTTATTTGAAATCTAACATAGGTTTGGGGACTCCATTCTGTGCAAATGTTTCAATTTTAATTGCCTAATCCCTAATTCATTTTTTTTATAAGTCTTGCTAATTTTTATTGATTGAGTTATACTTCTTCATAATTATTTTAAAATTATAGAAGAATAAGTCAGAAGAAATTGTGACATGAAGAGAAATTGGCTTTTACAATTTGTCCCTTTAAATGGGTTGCAGTTCTGTACATTTAACTGGTTCAATAAATCAAGACATTAGATAAATAAATGAGTCAGCTCTAATTACGTCGTCGATATGTTTTCTTTAATGTATCTTTGAGATTAACATACGACCTAAACGACTTTGCTCGAACGTAATTTAAATCGTATTATGGAGTATTTATCTCACGTTGAATAACATGATCATAATTTGAAAACATGAGTAGAACTTCATCCTAGGATCTCGTGTGCTTGTTTATAAGATCAGGTAATTTTTAAATATCGCCTGAGGCTTGATAAGAAGGCAGGACTCATAGTTGTTGAGTATTTGCAAACCTAAATATTTATAGTTGCACTTATTTAGGATTTTGTATATGTTCTTCTTCTCTTCTTTTCTTCCTCTTGTATGTTCTCTTTTATTTCATCTTATGTCTGTTAGTGTTGCTTTGTTTTTACTATATTTTTTCTATTG